GGTGGGGCCGATTGGGGGGTTGGGGCACCGCCCCCTGTCACACTCAAGGCAGGGTCGATGGGGAGGTTGCGGCGCACCCACTGTCACACACAGAGCAGGGCCAATCAGGGGTTGGGGCGCTGCCCCCAGTCATGCACAGAGCAGGGCCCATCAGGGGGTTGAGGAGCTCCCCCCTGTCACTCACAGAGTAGGGCCAATAGGGGAGTTAGGGCACCGCCCCCCTGTCACACACAGAGCAGGGCGGATCAGGGGGTTGGGGCGCCGCCACTGTCACACTCAGGGCAGGGCCAATGGGGAGGTTATGGCTCTACCCCATCACAGAGCAGGGCCGATCAGGGGGTTGGGGCACCGCCACTGTCACACTCAGGGCAGGGCCGATGGGGAGGTTATGGCTCTACCCTGTCACACACAGAGCAGGGCCTGTGGGGGGGTGGGGGGGGTTGGGGCACCACACCCTGTCACACACAGAGCAGGGCCGATCAGGGGGTTGGGACGCTGCACCCTGTCACACACAGAGCCGCAGGGGGATCAGGGGGTTTGGGCGCTGCCCCCTGTCACGCTGATCCGGTGCCAGGAGGCCTCGCTGCTCCACTGATCTCGGTGCTGGGAGGCATATTACCCTTTTACTATATAGGATAGAGGCCTGGGGGCAGGCTGGTTTGCCCTGAAAGGGTGTCCTGGATCAGGGTGGGGGTCCCCACTGGGGTGCCTGGCCAGCCCTGGATGAGGGGATGATGGCTGTTTGCAGCTGGTCACACACCCTTCAGGGGGGGGGTCCCCACTGGGGTGCCTGGCCAGTCTGGGGGAGGGGCTGAGGGCTACCTTAAGGCTGGCGATTGACTGAAGCTCCCAACCGCTCCTTTTTATCTTTTTTTTTTTATTTTATTCTGGGCCAGCTTTAGCTCTGGCTCTAGCTCTGAGGCTTCCGCTGCTGGTTTGTTTGCGTTCTATAATCGAAACAATGTATAACTCCAGCTCTGAGATCCCTGCGGTTTTGTTTAGCTTCTATATTTGTTACAAAGTTTCAAACTGCCAGCTCAGAGGCCGGCAGTGCAGGCGGGGAACGTTGGAGTCCTCCTTCACTGCAGCAAGCAAGCCTCATGTTCGCTTCCAGCTGCCTGGCTGCCGGCCGCCATCTTGGCTGACAGTTAATTTGCATATACTCACTGATTAGCCAATGAAAAGGGTAGCGGTCGTACGCTAATTACCATGTTTCTCTTTTATTAGTGTAGATAGGCCTGTTTAGATTGTCTATTCTGTGTGTGAATTAACAAAGTGTGTCTTTCAAGGAATTGGTCCTTTTCATGTAAGTTATAAAACTTGTGGGTATAGGGTTGTTCTAGTATTTCTTTATTATCATTTTAATGTCCATGGGATCTGTAGTGGTGTCCCCTTTTTCACTTCTGATATTAATAAATTTTGACCTTTTTTTGTAGTTAGCCTAGCTGCAGGCTTTTTATTTTATTGATCTTTTCAAATAACCAGCTTTTGGTTTTGTTGATTTTTCTCTATTGATTTCCTGTTTTCAATTTCATTGATTTCTTTTTTTAAATATTTGTTTTTATTTTATTTTTCCATCGCCATTTATCTCCTCTGTGCCCTCTTCCACCTCCACCCTACAATCACCATACTGATGTCCATGTCCATGAGTTTTCTTTCTTTTTATTTCTTTTTTTGCTCAATCCCTTTACCCCACCCTTCACACCTCCCTGCTCCCCACCACAACTGTCGGCTCTCTATTTTGAGGCTATTTTACTTGGTAGTTAATTTTTTAATTCAGTTTAATTTACTTTCAATTTAATTTGCTCTCTTTTTTTCTAGTTTCATAAGGTGGAAGTTATGATGATTCATTTTAGACCTTCTTTTCTAACATATGCATTCAATACTACAGCAAATTTTAAGTTGTGTTTTCATTTTCATTTAATTCAAAACATTTCTTAATTTCTCTGGGGATTTCTTCTTTGACCCATGTGCTATTTAGAAGTGTGTTATTTAATATCCTCATATTTTAGGATTTTTAAACTAGCTTTTTGTTATAGATTTCTAGTTTAATTCTATTGTAGTCTGAGAGCAGACATTGTATCTTTTCTCTTTTAAATTTATTAAGATGTGTTTTATGGCCCAGGATGTGGTCTATCTTGGTGAATGTTCCATATGAACTTAAGAAGAATGTGTGTTCTGTTCTTGTTGATTGAAATAGTCTATTCTTGTCCATTATATCCAGTTGATTGATAATGTTAAGTTCAACTATGTCCTTACTAATTTTCTGGCTGCTGTGTCTGTCCACTTGTAATAAGAGGCTGTGGATGCAGTTCTGTCTCTTTTGACTGCATGTAGTTTGACATTGTTATCAGGTGCGTACATGTTAAAGATTGTTAAGTGTGTTTCTTGTAGACAGAATATAGTTGAGTCTGATTTTTTTTATCCACTTTGACCATCTTTATTTTATAATTGGTGCATGTAGTCCATTGGTGTTCAGAGTGATTATATAGTTGGAATAATATCTATTATATTTGTTAGTTTTCTATTTGTTGCCCTTTTTTGTTCTTATATTTGTCATTCACTTTTTTTCAGCCTTTTATGGTTTTTATTAAGCATTTTATGTTATTCCATTTTCTCTCCTTTCTTAGCATGTCACTTACTTTCTTTTTACTCTGGCTTAGTGCTTACCCTAGAGTTTGCAATATACATGTACAAGTAATCCAAATCCACTTTCAGATAACACTATACAGCTTCACAAATAGTGTGGGTACCTAATAATAACAAAATAGTCTACGGCCATACCACCCTGAATGAGTCCGATCTTGTCTAATAATAACAAAATAATCCTAAATTTTTCCTCCCATCACTTGCATTATTGCTAATATTCATTTCATTTATATATAAGTGCACATGCGCACACCCACACAAACATAGTTGAATACAGTGTTGCTGTCATTATTTTGAACAGTATTATGTCAGATCAGTAATAAGAAAAATGAGTTTTTATTTTATTTTATTCCTTCTTCAATGCTTTTTCTTTCTTTACATATAACTGAGTTTCTGACCTACTAACTTTTCTTCTCTCTGAAGAATGTCTTCACACATTTGAAATGGCAAGTGTACTAGCAACAAATTCCCTCTATTTGTTTGTATAAGAAAGTATTTCTTCACTTTTGCAGGATAATTTTACAGGGTAAGGAAGTATTTTTTCTCTTAACACTAAATATTTCCACACTCTTGCTTGAATGGTTTCTGAGGAGAAATCAGATGTAATTCTCATTTTTGCACCTTTATTAATGAGATGTGGGGGGGTTTCTGTGGTTTCTTGTTGGAATATTTTTCTTCCCCTCCCCTTTTTTCTTTGACTTTGTATAATTTAAAAAGGATTTGCCTAGGTGTAATTATCTTGGCATTTATACAGCATAGAGCTTCCTAGATCTGTGGTTTGGTGTCTGACATTAATTTGGGTAAATTCTCAATCATTTTTATTTCAAATAGTTCTTCTATTCCTTTCTCACCTCCTTTTGGTATTTTTATTATGTGTATGTTACACCTTTTATAGTCCCACAGTTCTTGGATATTTTGTTTTGGTTTTATTAGGTTTTTAATCGGTCCTTGTTCTTTTTACTTTTTAGTTTTAGAAGTTGCTATTGCGATACCCTCCATCTCAGAGATTTTTTTCCTCAGCTGTATTCAAACTATTAATAAGCCCATCAAAGGCATTATTTATTTCTATTACAGTGTTTTTGATCTCCAGTACTTCTTTTTTGTTTCTTTCTTAGAATTTCAATCTCTGTACTTACATTGCTCATCTGTTCTTGCATACTGTCGGCTTCTTTATTAGAGCCATTAGTATACTATTCATTGTTTCAAATTCCTAGTCTGATAATTTCAACATTGCTTTCATGTCTGAGTCTGGTTCTGATGCTTTCTCTTTCTCTTCAAACTGTGTTTTTGCCTCTTAGTATGTCTTATAATTTTTTTTTCTTGATAACTAAGCATGATGTACTGGGTAAAAGGAGCTGCTGTAAATAGGCCTTTAGTGATGTGGCGATACAGTTTTGGGGAAAGGAAGGTGTTCTATATATAGTCCTATGATTAGGTCTCAGTCTTTTAGTCAGTTTGTGCCTCTGGAATGTGAACTTCATGGTGCTTCTCAGTATTTCCAACCTCCTCTCTTAGTTAGGTGGGACAGGATGGTTAGAGTGGGCTGGAGTTGGTTATTTCCCAATAAAAGCTCAGCAGGTTAGGGTCTAGTTAACCGTTCTTCCTAGGGGCAGACTGTTGAGAAGAACAGAATGCTTGTGTCTTCCAAAATGATTCTTTTTCCTTTCCTCCTGCAAAGAAGCACAAGGGCATTTTTTCCCCCCAGTATTCACTGTGAGACCCAGTAGAGATCCAGGAGGTAAAATTTACAGAAGTGTGGAGTCCCTGAATGACAAGGTCCACCTGGTGTTTTTGACTTTCAGAGTTGTCCACCTTAGCCTCCAAAAACTTGTCAATTATGATTCAGGCTTCTCTACCCCAGCAGTTCTTCCACAGACGTTTCTGTTCTGGTTGTGATTCTCTGTTTGCTACCAGTCTCTCCAATTTGAGAGACAGCAGTTTGCCCTGTGACCTCCCTTATCTTAAGGATTAAAGAATAGTTGTTGATTTTTTTCAGTTTGTTTAGCTTTTTAGTTGTTTTTAGGACAGAGTGATGACTTCCACACTTGTTATATGCTAAATTAGAAACATACTATTTAATCATTTGGTTTTTACAAGTTTGCTTTACTGATCTGAATATTTGAACTACTTTTTACCTGGAAACTTGACCTTGTCTAATTTTTTTTACCTGATAAATAAATCTTCTCTAACAAATTCTATTATAGAAATAAGTGAATATGAATTATACATTAATCTTTAATTTGATAATTCACAAATGTGGTACTGAATAGCTTGTTTCATTTTTCAAGTGTTTTTCACTTTCTTTATTTTGAAGCTGCTTCTCAGCCCGTTGATAACCATGTTAGCCCATCTTCCTACTTGGGCCAGACACCAGCATCACCAGCCAGATACTCACCTGTTTCTAAAGCAATGCTTGGAGATGATGAAATTACACGGTAAGGAACTGAACATACATCCTTCTTACATAAAGCCAACTATTAGATGGAGTTCTAATCAGCCAAGTAGGATAGACATAATTTTCAGGACTAAAAATTTTTATTGACAGATGAGGAACCTAAACCTTAACTTTTCCATTGGATGATTCATTGAAGAGACTGAAATGTAAAAATATTTTATATTCCAAATAAATCACTGCTTTTTTTAATATTGCTATTTTTTAATGATTGGTAAATTATCATTAGAAAGTAGCTATGGTAAAAGTTAAGAACATATTTAGGGATATTTAAAACTAACTTTTTATATATTTTTATCTAATATATACCATATAATATTATGGCATTTATTTTTCAGAATTCAACAAGTAGTATTTTCTCTAACACCTAAAATATACTTTCAACTAACATTACTAACTGCACTCAAGTTTGTAGATTAACTGTCTTTTTATTCCCAAAGAACTCTCAACTAGGTGGGAAAAAATAACTGAAAAAGTATTTTAGATCTTTTTCACATTTACTATAGTAATAAGACATTTTTATACAGTTTGCTTTATACTTTGTACAAGTATTTCATATTATAGCACTTACCATTAAACATATGCTAATTAATGCCTATTTTTATGTTTTTATTAGTTGCATTATTGTCAGAATTATTATTTTTGAACCTTCATAAGTCTAATTATTCTTTATTTGTCAGACTCCTTACTTTAGGCAGTGATCTCTTTAAGGTCATATAGGAATGTTTGTCTTTGTCCACTTCTATAAGAATTGGCAATGTTGAGAACTTAATTAAAAAGGTGCTCAGTAATTATGTTTGGAATGAAAATCAGCAGAAAGCATAGTGTTTGTGATGATGATATGAATTTTCAAGGCTATTAGTGTTTAGGCTATGCTCCTGTACTATGTAATAAAAGGCTAATATGCAGATTGTCCCCTCAACTGGGAGTTCGACCAGGGGGCGGGGCCAGCTGGCCAACTGCCCGCGGCCCCTCGCCCAGCCAATCGGCCCCAATTGGGGCAGGCCAGCCAGATCCCACCTATGCATGAATTCATGCACCGGGCCTCTAGTCTGTCATAATCATTTTGTTGCTTTCTAATAGTGCCTATAGGAGTAAAGAGGAAAATAATTAATGGCTTATCTAGTCTTTAATCTCTGCTTATTTTTCAAACTAAAATATGTTATATTAGCACCTTGATTGCTATTTCCTATCTTTTCCACTTGTATATCTCCTGTCTAGAATATTGTATAGGACTTTGTAGTATCACATGATGGATGTACCTGATTTCTATACTTTTCTATAAAATTCAGGTGGTTGGTTACTAGATATGTCTTCCCAAATTGGTGTGCATTTTATCACTCCCTTTTGATAATTACACTACTATGCCCAGATATTGAGATATAAAATCTTCACTTTTCCATCAGCAGTTCTCCACAGTTTGATCCTAAAGCAATCTTTCAGAGGTTATCTCACATTACCAATCTCAAATAAAATAAAATAAATCCCAACAGTTGATTTAAAGGTTTATTTTTAACAGATATGATCCACATACAGTTCACCCATTTAAAGTGTACAACTCTGATTTTTGGTATATCACATTATTAATTTTTTTAATATGGTAATATATGCATAACATAGCATTTGCCATGTGCAATTCAGTGCAACCATAACATTATGCAACCATCACCACTATTTCCAAAACTTTTCCTTACCTCAGACAAACTATAACCATTAAGAAATAACTCTCCATTTCCCTATCCTTCTTGCTCCTCCTGGTAACCACTACTCTACTCTCTATCTCTGTGAATTTGCCTACTCCAGATTGTTAATATAAGTGGAATCTTAAAATACTTACCCTTTTGTGTCTGGCTGTAGCATGTACAGAACTTCATTCCTTTTTATGGCTGAATAATATTCCATGTGTGTATATACCCCATTTTGTGTATCCATCCATTTGTTGACAGACACCTGAGTTGTTCCCACCTTTTGGATATTGTGAATAATGCTATAATAAACAATGGCATGTGAGTATCAGTTTCTGTCCCTGATTTCAATTCCTTTAGATAAGTGATTTTCAATCAGTGTGCCACAAGAATTTTTAAAACATTCAATACTTAACTGTTTAATCAGGAGCACTGACTGCTTTTCCCTTAAATTGTCAAAAAACATGACAATAGCACAGCTCTGTTTATGCCGGGTTTTCTCTAAAGCTGAGATGGCAGCCAATCATCCACTCTCTGAAGAGTGTAGTGTTGCTATTAATAAAGTGGCATCTTATAAGCTGCACATCAGTGTTGCTTATTTATCTACTAGAGGACCGGTGCACAAAAATTTGTGCACTCGGGGGAGGGGGGTCCCTCAGCCCGGCCTGTGCCCTCTCGCAGTCTGGGACCCCTCGGGAGATAACGACCTGCTGGCTTAGGCCTGCTCCCGGGTGGCAGAGGGCAGGCCCAATCCCTAGGTGCAGCCCCTGGTCAGGCTCAGAGCAGGGCCGATTGGGGAGTTGGGGCGCCGCCCCCTGTCATGCACAGAGCAGGGCGGATTGGGAGGTTGCGATGCCACCTTCAGTCACGTTCAGGGTACGGCCGATTGGGGGCACCGCCCCCTGTCACACTCAAGGCAGGGTCGATGGGGAAGTTGCGGCGCCACCCCCTGTCACGCACAGAGCAGGGCCAATCAGGGGGTTGGGGCGCTGCCCCCTGTCACGCACAGAGCAGGGCCCATCAGGGGGTTGGGGAGCTCCCCCCTGTCACGCACAGAGCAGGGCCCATCAGGGGGGTTGGGGAGCTCCCCGCACAGAGCAGGGCCCATCAGGGGGTTGGGGAGCTCCCCCCTGTCACGCACAGAGTAGGGCCGATAGGGGAGTTGGGGCACCGCCCCCTGTCACACACAGAGCAGGGCCGATCAGGGGGTTGGGGCGCCGCCACTCTCACACTCAGGGCAGGGCCGATGGGGAGGTTATGGCTCTACCCCGTCACACACAGAGCAGGGCCCGTGGGGGGGGGGGGGGGCCGCACCCTGTCACACACAGAGCAGGGCTGATCAGGGGGTTGGGGAGCTCCCCCCTATCAGGCACAGAGCAGGGCTGATCAGGGGGTTGGGGCGCCTTCCCCTGTCACAAACAGAGCAGGGCGGATAGGGAGTTTGTGACCCCGCCCCCTGTCACACACAGAGCCGCAGGGCGATCAGGGGGTTTGGGCGCTGCCCCTGTCACGCTGATCCCGGTGCCGGGATGCCTCGTGGCTCCGCTGATCCCGGTGCTGGGAGGCATATTACCCTTTTACTATATAGGATAGAAGCCTGGTGCATGGGTAGGGGCTGGCTGGTTTGCCTTAAAGGGTGTCCTGGATCAGGGTGGGGGTCCCCACTGGGGTGCCTGGCCAGCCTGGATAAGGGGATGATGGCTGTTTGCAGCTGGTCACACACCCTTCAGGGTGGGGGTCCCCACTGGGGTGCCTGGCCAGTCTGGGTGAGGGGCTGAGGGCTGTTTTCAGGCTGGTGGGTGACTGAAGCTCCCAACCGCTCCTTTTTTTCTTTTTTTTTTTAATTCTGGGCCAAGGCCTCGGCTGCTGAAAGCAGGTATCTGGTTTGTTTTGGTTCTGTAATCGAAACACTGTATCATCTCCAGCTCTGAGATCCAGGCTGGCTGAAAGCTGGTTTCTGGGGTTTTGTTTAGCTTCTATATTTGTTACAATGTTTCAAACTGCCAGCTCAGAGGCCGGCAAGGCATGCGGGGAACGTTGGAGTCCTCCTTCACTGAAGCAAGCAAGCGTCATGTTCGCTTCCAGCTGCCTGGCTGCTGGCCGCCATCTTGGCTGGCAGTTAATTTGCATATCGCCCTGATTAGCCAATGGGAAGGGTAGCGGTCGTACACTAATTACCATGTTTCTCTTTTATTAGATAGGATAGGATGCCCTATAATTCCATTGAAGACTCAGTACAACCTCTTGTTGCCAAATTCTTTGAAGACCAAGCTGAGGTGAAGAGGGAAAATGGAAAGGAATTCCTGAAATATCTAAGAAAATGTGGGAGTAAAATTTGCCTTCCAGTGTTTAAGAGGCCTGAAATAAATAACTAGAGACCCGGCATAAAAGCTCTAGAGCAGCGGTTCTCAACCTGTGGGTCGCAACCCCTGTGGGGGTCGAACGACCCTTTCACAGGGGTCGCCTAAGACCATCGGAAAACACATATATAATTACATACTGGTTTTTGATTAATCACTATGCTTTAATTATGTTCAATTTGTAACAATGAAATTGGGGGTCACCACAACATGAGGAATTGTATTAAAGGGTCGCAGCATTAGGAAGGTTGAGAACCACTGCTCTAGAGGGAGTAAATCGTAAGCGATTAGCAAATCAGGCTCAGGAGGAGGAAGACCCATCGTAAAAGCCTGCTGAGTGTTGGGTGAATAGACTTAACATCAGAAGGCAACAAAGCATGTCTTCTCATTGTAGTAGGTCCCCAAATCAATCTGGTGCTTAAGAATCTTGATCCTGCCCTGACTGGTTTGGCTCAGTGGATAGAGCGTCGGCCTACGGAATGAAGGGTCCCGGGTTCGATTCCAGTCAAGGGCATGTACCTTGGTTGCGGGCACATCCCCAGTGGGGGGCGTGCAGGAGGCAGCTGATCTATGTTTCTCATCGATGTTTCTAACTCTCTATCCCTCTCCTTTCCTCTCTGTAAAAAATCAATAAAATATATTTTAAAAAAAAAATCTTGATCTTCTCCATTTGACAGAAGACTGCTTTTCTTCATTGGTGTGTGTACAAATAAACCTATTTTTTGCATTATTTTTTAAAAAAATGACAACAGCCACCACAACAATAGCTGTCCAGTGTGAATGAATCAAAATTATACCTTTTTTTTTTTTCTGGTCCGATCGGCAAAAAATATATTTTTGGTTATGCCGCCAAATTTTAGTAATTAGTTTGTGTGCTATGAGATTAAAAATGTTGAAAATTGCTGCTTTAGATATATATCTGTGAGTGGAATTGCTGGATCATATGGTAACTCTGTGTTTAAGTTGATGAGGAACTACCTATTTTCTACAGAAGCCACATCATTTTACATTCCCACCGTCAATAATTTTAGGGTTTCAGTTTTTCCACATCCTCACCAACACTTGCTTTTCATGTTTTGTTTTATAGCCATTGTAGTAGTTGGGACATATTGTGATTTTTACACATTTTCCTAATTACTAATAATGTTGAAGCATCTTTTCATGGGCTTTGAAAAATTAGAATTTATTTTTCTCTGGAAATACTATTGGATTTCAGCAGGATAATTTTAATTAAGTATTATTTACTACTATAGAAGTAGAATTCATATATATTTAAAGCATAATAGGAACCCTAAACCATGAGTCTACCATCTAACAAGAAAATAAAACATCACCAATGTAGTGAAACCTATCCTGTGTCCTGCTTTTCTGCACTGCCCCACCAAATTAACTGCTTTTCTGAATTTTGGATTTATTCCCTTTTTTCTTTCATATATGTTTGTGTATATAATATATCCTAAACAGATATATTTAGTTTCGCAATTTTTGACAAGAAAATATAATTTTGTTAACACTATAAGTGAACTGGCAAAACTGATACCTCTGTATGACTAGAAAATACCATTTTAAGTTTTGAGTAGACAAACATTTAAGAAGCTTAATTTCACATTATATGGAAGTATTCCTAAAATACATTTGTAAAATTTATTTATTTCTTCTAAGCTTTTTGTTATCAATAGATTTCTGTGATGTTTTAGAAAAATCACATTAAATTTAAAAAATGTTTATCAAATATGATATAGTCTAATCTCAAGTGATGTTCTGTATTTTATTATATAAAACTAGAGGCCCGGTGCACAAAATTAGTGCACTGGCGGCGGGGGGGGGGGGGGGGTGTCTCAGCCCAGCCTGCACCCTCTCACAATCCAGGACTTCTGGCTCCCAACCGCTCGCCTACCTGCCTGCCTGATTGCCCCTAACCACTTCTGCCTGCTGGCCTGATCACCCCCTAACCACTCCCCTGCCAGCCTGATTGACAACTAACTGCTCCCCTGCCAGTCTGATCGCCCCCAACTGCCCTCCCCTGCAGGCCCAGTCCCCCCAACTGCCCTCCCCTGCCAACCTGGTCACTCCCAACTGCCCTCCCCTGCCGGCCTGGTCCCCACAACTGCCCTTCCCTGCTGGCCTGATCACCCACAACTGCCCTCCCCTGCTGGCCATCTTGTGGCTGTGGGCACTGCCATCTTTGAGGGCAGGACGGTCAATTAGCATATTCTCTCCTTACTGGCTGTGGGCGTCGCCATCTTTTGAGGGCAGGGCAGTTAATTAGCATATTCCCTCCTTATTGGCTGTGGGTGTCACCATCTCTGAGGACATGGCAGTCAATTAGCATATTTCCTCTTTATTAGATAGGAAGAATATTCCCTCTTTATTAGATAGGATAATCTGCTGCTGGTATTTTCATGGTCTTACCAGAGAAAATGATTGATTTTCACATAGCTATGTATAAGTGGTAGCAAATATGAAACATTATTAGTGGTAAGATATATTTTTATTTCAGAGATTTTAAATAGGTGGTATGTGGGGCAAAAAAGGGTACATCTTAGAAAGGACAAAAAGCAGAGGTAGATAGATGGATATGACTTAAAAAATAAAGATATTTAATTGTTTCATATAAAAAATCTGGAGATGGGCAATTCCAATGTTTATGTAGCAACCCTAGGTCCATGGTTTGTCTGCTTGATCTTAGCTTCATGACTGTTATGTGTTCAAACCAGTAATGGCGTTTTATCATTTATTTTTTTGTGGGGGGTGTTATGTTGGGTGGGGAGGCAAACAAATGTGCTTTGTCCTTGTTAGGGTCTGTCTTTCTTTGGAAGTGACAGTGAAATTTCCCTTTATTTCTCAGAAGCCAGAAGAGGATCATACCAAAGGGTTAATGACTGGCTTAAATTAATCATTAACTCATCCCTTTGGGATTGGAAAAAGGACCTTACCGTCTCTAAGACAAAGTGATATCTTCCTTTTACAAAATCTAAAAAGTAGGGGAAATAGGCAATAAAATGTGCACAACATCAATTTTTCATAAGTGTATTATATATACAATATTCCCTGAGAAGGCTCTTTATATCATTTTTTAAATTTCCACATTGTTTTCTTCTTTCTGTTTTAGTTTCATGTTTTCTTCCTTTTGTTTTAGTTTCGTGTTTGTTTCTTAACATGGGTTTTGCTTTTATATGAAATTATGATTTTTACTTTTAATTTCTAAGCCTAATTTCTAGGGTTAGAAAGAATTCCTTCCTTACTCTGCAATTCCAAAAACCCTTTTATATTTCATCTAGTTTTCTTTATAGTTTGAAAAGAGTTATCAATAGGGAAGTCTTTCTCATTAATACAATGTCAAATTCTGTATAAAATTTCTAAGATAAACAAAATTGTTTTTTTTAATTTTTAGGGAACCTAGAAAAGTTGTTCTTCATCGTGGCTCAACAGGCCTTGGTTTCAACATTGTAGGAGGTGAAGATGGAGAAGGAATATTTATTTCCTTTATCTTGGCTGGAGGACCTGCTGATCTTAGTGGAGAGCTCAGAAAAGGAGATCGTATTATATCGGTAGGATATGTTAATCAAAGTAATGTGTGTGTTTTTATTTTAACTATGACCTATTATTAAAAATTTTTGTTTTTACATCCTAAAGTTATGAGATATTTTAGTTAATCTTACCATTTTACAGCTTAATTGTAGAATTATAGTGATGTCAGAGAACATGATCTATATGACAGATTTTATTTTGATATTTGGCTTACTTATAAGTGTCATCTTTATAAATGTCTTTTATACTATGTCTATTAACTCAACCTATGTCTTTATATGTCTATTAACTCAACCTTGCTGCTTGTTTAGTTTAGATCTTTGTTTTAATCTGTTGTCTGCTTAATATATTATTTAAAAAGATTTTTTTAAGCTGCCTGAATGTGATGATGTGTTTAGCACTTTGCCCTTATAGCGTTTTTTTCATTGTATGTATGAAACTATGTTATTAAATGCACTAAATTTAGAATCATCATTTCTTCCTAGTGAATTGAACTTTTTGATCCCCTTTATTTATAATAAAGGTTTTTATCCTAGAAGGTATATTGCTGATATTAATGTGACTGCTAACATTTTTGCTTGATATTCACCTCATCTTTTCTTCCCTTTTTACTTTCAATTTGTCTGTGCATTTATGTGGCTGTTGTCCATACACTTTTATACTAAAACTGATCAGTAATTCTACTGTTCTACCTAATGGCTCACAGACTTTGGGAAACTTTAATTCTAATGATCTGTTTCTAGTATTTTACTTCTGTTTCACTTTTATATCCCCCAAACTGAGTCATTTTTATTTTTTTTTAACAGTCAATCCATTCTTTCATTTTTTTGTTCTTATATTTTCTTCTGTGTTTTTTAGTGGGCCACTAACAGCATGGGGATTTGTTTTTATTGTATAGGACTGTCTTGTTCATTGTAGAAAATTTAGCCTTTTAAGCTCCCATTCTCTTGCTAGTAGAACTCCTTAGTTATTTTAAGAAGCAAAAGTGTCCCTCAAATATCCAGATGCACCTTAGTGGGAGCCTTGGATTATTCTTTAGCAGTGATTTTTTTTTTTATAATTGATTGATTGATTTGAGAGAGAGAGGATGAGAGAGAAACATCGATTATTGTTCTACTTATTTGTGCCTTCATTGTTTGATTCTTCTATGTGTCCTGACCGGGGATTGAACCCATAACCTTGGCATATCGGAATGATGCTCTAACCAACTGAGTTACCTGGTCAGAGGCCAGCAATGATTTCTTGATGATAAATACTCTTAGAGTTTGTCTGAAAATCTCTTTATTTTACCCTGACGTGTAAATATAATTCAGTCTAGAATTCTAGGTTGACAGTTGTTGTCTAGTACTTTGAAGATACTGCTTTATGCATGCTATTTGGAAAATAATACAATAATTAATAAACAGTAATACAAGAATAAACTCCGTTTCACACACTCACAACCATAAATCTATTTTTGTCCCACCCTGTATGCTATTTTGTTTTTAATTAAAAAGTTTAGGCAACACTTTAAAATTGTAAGATCTGAGATATAGAAACAAACCTATATCCTGTGTCGCCAATAATATTCAATATTGATGACTATTTAAATAATTTCTTATAAATCAATAGAGACCTTTTCAACTACATAATATAAAGAAAACAAAATTTGAAAATACTCCTCAAACTGAAGGTATATGTTGCTGGAACAGGATAAGAAAAGCATTCAAAAATGTACATTGTATCTTTTTACAGTTTTCTGTCAATCAATCCCTCTTGCCACCTAATCCTTACCTGCACATACTTAACATGTATCACCATATTCCTGCAACCTATATGTGACAAAAGACTTGGAGGAATTGAGGTGGGAGTTATAAAACTTTCCTATCTCTTGTGGCGGTTGCTACACAACATTTAAAATTGTCAAAACTCTTAACTGTAAACTAAAAAAAGATTAATTTATTGAAGATAAATTATGCCTAAATAAAAATAGATGTTTAAAGTTATAACCAAGTATCATATCCACCCAGTTAAATGATTTTTTAAAAATTGATGATAATAAAACATTGGTGAGGGCATGGAGTAATTGTAACTCTCATTCATTACTGGTGGACAGATAAAATAATACAATCACTACAAAAACTTTTGGGACGTTTTCGAGAAATTAAAAATATATCTAACCTTACCACCCAGATTTTACCGACAAAATCATATATCTACAAAAATCACTTTAACAATAATGTGTGTAACAGACTTATTCATAATAACCCAGATTTTGAAATAATTTGTGTTCATCAATAGTAAAGTAGCTAAATAAATTGTTATATGTTTATACAATATGCTTCACAGCAATAAAAGTTAACTACTGAAACTCAAAACAACATGGCTGACACTAAAATACAACATGTTGAATAAAACAAAACACCACAGAAATGCATGCTATATTATTCCAGTTACATGCTAATCATGAGCATGCAACACTAATTTGTATTAATAGAAGTCAGAAAGTTGGTGCTGGTAATTGTACTGACTATAATAAAGAGACACAATGGAAATGTGGATTGGTTAATGGAGAGGTATATCTTGTTTGGGGTTGTGATTACGTAGGTGCATACAGTTGTTGAAAATTCTTCCAACTGAACTGTTGAAATTCGTACATTTTCTTTCTTATAAATTATATTGTAATTTAAATTTTTAAAATAAGTTACAGTATTGCCCTGGTCAGTGTTTTAAGTGGTTAGAGCATCAACTGCACACCAAAGTCTCACAGGTCCCAAGGGCACATACCTGGGTTGCAGGTTCAATCCCCAGCCCTGGTCTAAAAAACTCAAAGGAAAATAGATGTATTTTGAATTGTCAATGAGGGACCACTTTATATGGGTCACTGACACACTGCCAGATTATGTTAGTCTGACTGCTTCACTCAGAACTTTCCCAGTTTTAGTACTGAAAGCTTTGTCTGGAAATCCCTTTAGTCTCAATTTTAAAACTGAACATCTCAGATAGTGCAGCCCAATTGCACATCCTAATGTGAGTGTAAATTAAGGACCTGTATAGCCTTGTTTGGCAGTATGCATCAGTAACCTTAAAATTTCAATGCTTATAAGCTTCTCTATGGAAATACACTGAAAGCAATAGGAAAACCTATGAACAAGAGAAAAACATGAGAAAATATATTCAAAACTAAATAAACCTTGAAACAAACTTATTTAAATAACTCATTAGACAAATTTAACTTTTTTCAATTTTCAGCTTGTATCAGAATCACCTTGAGGCCTTGTTAAAAGATCGATTTCTAGACCCCCATCCCTAAACTTTCTGATCTACACTAATAAAAGAGAAACATGGTAATTGGCGTACGACCGCTACCCTTCCCATTGGCTAATCAGCGTATCCTTATGCAAATTAACTGTCAGCCAAGATGGCGGCCGGCAGCCATGCACTGAAGCGAGCAGGGAGGCTTGCTTCCTCCAGGGACTGCAGACTCCAACGTTCCCCGCCTCACTTGCCGGACTCTCAACTGCAACTCTAAGCAACTATTACTATGTTGCAAATAAGAAGCTAAACAAAACCAGCTGTCAGTCAGCCCCGGACCGCAACATTGTATCCATGTTTTCAGCAGCGAGGCCTCAGAGCTAAAGCTGGCCCAGAATTAAAAAAAAAAAAAATGAAAACCAGGAGCGGTTGGGAGCTTTTAGTCAACTGCCAGCGGGAAAACAGCCCTCAGCCCCTCAGCCAGCCTGGCCAGGCACCCCAGTGGGGACCCCCACCCTGATCCAGGACACCCTTCAGGGCAAACCAGCCAGCCCCTACCCGTGCACCAGGCCTCTATCCTATATAGTAAAAGGGTAATATGCCTCCCGGCACCAGGATCAGCGTGACAGGGAGCAGCGCCCAAACCCCCTGATCAGCCCTGCTCTGTGCCTGATGGGGGGGAGCTCCCCAATCCCCCAATTGCCCTGCGGCTCTGTGTGTGACAGGGTGCAGCGCACCAACCCCCTGATCGACACTGCTCTGTGTGTGACAGGGTGCGGTGCCCCAACCTCCCGCCTCCACAGGCCCTGCTCTGTGTGTGACAGGGTAGAACCATAACCTCTCCATCGGCCCTGCCCTGAGTGTGACAGTGGCGGTGCCCCAACCCCCTGATCGGCCCTGCTCTGTGGGTAATAGAGGGTGGCGCCCCAACCCCCCTCCACGGGCCTTGCTCTGTGTGTGACAGGGTAGAGCCATAACCTCCCCATTGGCCCTGCCCTGAGTGTGACAGGGTGCAGCGCCCCAACCCCCTGATCCGCCCTGCTCTGTGTGTGACAGGGGGTGCCCCTACTCCCCTATCGGCCCTACTCTGTGAGTGACAGGGGGTAGCTCCTCAACCCCCTGATCGGTCCTGCTCTGTGCGTGACAGGGGGGAGCTCCCCAAACCCCTGATCGACCCTGCTCTGTGTGTGACAGGGTACGGAGCCCTAACCCCCCTGATGGGCCCTGCTCTGTGCATGACGGGGCGGCGCCCCAACTCCCCAATCGGCCCTGCTCTGAGCCTGACCAGGGGCTGCACCTAGGGATTGGGCCTGCCCTCTGCCACCCGGGAGCAGGCCTAAGCCAGCAGGTCGTTATCTCCCGAGGGGTCCCAGACTGCGAGAGGGCACAGGCCGGGCTGGGGGACCCCCCCCCCCAAATGCACAAATTTTTTGTGCACCGGGCCTCTAGTTTAGTATAACTTGAAGAGGTTCTGAAATTATATTCTTAACAAGTTTCCATGAGATACTGATATTGCTACCCCCTAAAATCAAACTTTGTGAACCACTCTTGTAAAGACATCACTGTTGTTTATTTTTAACTAGAGGCCCGTTGCACAAAAATTTGACCTGTCAGTTGGTTCTTGGAACACCCTACTTTTAAGATTCTCTGTATTTGACCTTATTCAGAACTCCACCACTACAAAAGCCTGTCAAAACAATTACAGGCCCTGGCTGATGTGGCTCAGTTGGTTAGAGCGGCTTCCCTTGTACCCAAAGGTCCCAGGTTTGATTTCCAGTCAGGGCAC